AAAACTATTAGCTTTCAGTAGTCCACTAATATTTTTTATTAGTCTTCATAATTCTTTTTATTTTCTTTTAATTGAATCACTGTGAGATACAAAGCTGTTCGTGGTAGGGGTTCAGTCATACAGTGTTCCAACACCATCCTGCACTCTGTACTTTATAGGGGTTCTCTCTCTTTCTCCCTTTCATTTCCTCAATGCTACTTTACTTCACAGAAATGTGGCGAATGTAGTTTTAAAAAAGTCATGCTCTCTCCACCCCCCAACTTTCTGTGCCTTCCCCAAAAAAGTGGGGCCAGAACAGGGATTTAAGTGCTTGTCCTGCATGTTTTGATCCCTGGTTTGATCCCAGGTATTACATATTATCCCACAAGCAACGTCAGTAGTAACCCCTGAGTACAGAGCCAGGAGTAAAAACCTGAGCACTGCGGTGTGTGGCTCAAAAACAAGTAGAAAAACTTTCCAGTCAATTAGACCCCATCAAAGCTTCTCAATAATGTTCTCAAAATGTGAGGCATGTAAGCTGAGAAGTCTAGCCCACACTATGACTGAGGCTCTGTGTCTAATCTCAGCTATCTCAAATCTGAAAAATCAGATTAGCAATTTATAATACTTTCCATGACTCAGTGGCTACGCAAAATTGGATAAATAGCTTAAACCTTTCTATATCTTAGTTCTCTCATTAGTGTAACAGTTTTTACTCAAGAAATAGGTGTAACAGATCAAAACAGTTGGTTAAAAGGCAAACCATATCTTGGTATTTGTGTATCAAAAGAAGCAAAAAATGAGAATATAATCAAAATATTCTTTATTAAAAAGGCGGGATGCTACTGGAAAATTTAATCTAGGAAACTGTTAATATGGACATTAATATTAACTAAATCTATATAGGTCCTAGGTAGAATAAAAGAACTTGTATAGTTTTCTATTTGATTCATGATAGAGAAGATCATGCTAGGGATGATGGGAGAAAGATAAATCATCAAAGTCAAAAAATAATTTGTAGTGGATTAAAAAAGTGTTGTGTTTTGGTGCCTTTAAAAAATGTCATACCCAAGGGGTTGATATCAAGGATATACAAAGTACTGGTTGAACTCCACAAGAAGAAAACATCCAACCCCACAAAAAATGGGGCGAAAAAATGAACAGAAACTTTCTCAAAGAAGAAATCCGAATGGCTAAAAGGCACATGAGAAAATGCTCTATATAATTAGTCATCAGGGAGATGCATATCAAAACAACAATAAGATATCATTTCACACCACAGAGACTGGCTCACATCCAAAAGAACAAAACCAACCGGTGCTGGCGCGGATGTGGCGAGAAAGGGATCCTCCTTCACTGCTGGTGAGAATGCTGACTGGTTCAGCCCTCTTGGAAAACAGTATGGACAATTCTCAAAAAATTAGAAATTGAGCTCTCATTTGACCCAGCAATACCACCCCAGAGAGGCAAAAATGTATAGTCAAAGTGACATGTGCACTTGTTTGTTCATTGCAGTACTGTTTACAATAGCCAGAATCTGGAAAAAACCTGAGTGCCCGAGAACAAATGACTGGTTAAAGAAACTTTGGTACATCTACACAATGGAGTACTATGTAGCTGTTAGAAGGGATGAAGTCATGAAATTTACATACAAGTGGTTCTACATGGAAAGTATCATGCTAAGCAAAATTAGTCAGAAAGAGAGGGACATAGAAAGATTGCATTCATCTGGGCAATAGAAAGAAACAAAATAGGAGACTAACACCCAAGAATAGCTGAGATACGTACCAGGAGGTTTACTCCATGGCTTGGAGGCCAGCTGCATACTCTAGGGGTAAAGGCAGCTCAGATAGAGAAGGGAGCACCTAATAGAGGGTGTTGGGAGGATCTGCCCAGGATGGGAGAAGCATGCTGAAAGTAGACTTTAGATGGAACATGATTGCCACTCAATTCCTCTTTTGCAAACCACAGCACCCAAAAGGAGAGAGAGAATGGGAGGGAGTGCCCCGCCACAGAGGCAGGGTGGGATGGGAGGATGGGGGGTGGGAGGAATACTGGGATCAGTGGTGGTGGAGAATGGGCACTAGTGGAGGGACAGGTACTCGATCATTGTATAACTGAAACCCAAGCACAAAAATTAGTAAGTCTACAACTGTACCTAATGGTGTTTCACTAATAAAAATTTTTTAAAAAGTCATGCCTTAATAACTTGATTATACTTTTAGATAAGCTAAGTACATAACCCTTGCAACAGAAAAATAGGCAAATATTTGATAATCAAGGGCAAAATTTGTTAGGGAAATTGTGTGAAATTTTATAAAAGTGTGAAATCATCAACTAGTAAGTCTCCATATTTCGCTATCACTTACCACTGATTTCGAACAAAATCCAAACAGAAAGCAAAGTTAACTCATTTACTGAGAAGGCAAATTTGTAAGCAATTGCAATTTAAAAGCAGTAGTTCCCAAAATGTGTATACATCAAGATCACCAAATACGCTGGCCCCACCCCTAGAAAAGTAGTCTGGAGGGGGGCAAAGAGTTGCAACAGCGGGTAGGGCGTTCGCCTTACACGCGGCCAACATGGCCGACCCGAGTTCGATTCCTCCGCCCCTCTCGGAGAGCCTGGCAAGCTACCGAGAGTATTCGATATGCCAGACACAGTAACAACAAAGTCTCCAATGGAGACGTTACTGGGCCCGCTCGAGCAAATCGACAATCAACGGGAGGGCCTTTACCTTTTTACCTTTACCTCTGATGATGTTAGTGTTACAGGTCTGGGAAAATAGTCTTTAAAACATTGCCTTTGAGATATGTAAGAAATGACGTTGCTTAGAATCATTAGTCCTTTCCTGAGACATCCATTTTACTAACCTAAAATAACTAGTCTCAAAGCTATAACTTTGAGACTCTATACATTCATTTGTTAATTGGGATGGTATTACAACTTTATTGGGAAAAAATTGAGCCATGTCTATGGCAGTTCTTTGGTTCATCCTCTTGTGATAACTTTGTCAGGCACCCATAAGAAAACACCATTGCTATTTCTTCGTGGCAACTTAGTCGTTTTCTGTTTGTTTGTTTGTTTGTTTGTTTGCAGGGGGCTCCGAAGCAGTGCTGGGGAGCCCAGTTGTCCCCACAGATGATCAGCCTCATTGGCTAAGGAAATCCAGAGGTGTAGAGAATACCAGGACAAGTGTCTACACTTGGGGGCCTCCAGTGCTACACTGGTTAGGCAGTTTGGAGGTGGGTGGTGATGGCAGGAAGGTCCAGAACGAACCAGGTCTCACTCACTGCATATGCCCTGGTCCCTCTGCTAGCTCTTGATCCTAGGAACTTGCTTTGAGGGCAAAATAAAACATAAAATTGACACAGGTTCCCTTTGATGCTTGTTAGGAAACCCATACATGGTCAAATGCATGCTCCCACATATATGGTCACATCACAAAATACTATGTATTCTCTGCATACACTCAACTTCTGTCTTACCTTGCGTTGTTTTAATGTTCTCTTGCTACACGGTTTTCTGATGGAAATATTAGATGTATTTAAAGAAAACATCTACAGTTCTTCCTGAAGTCTAGTGGAACATAAGCCAATTTATTTAATCTGCACCTATGTTTACAGAAATTTTAATATCCTATTTTACTAGAACTTCACACCTTTATCTTTAAATTATATCAAGTGAATAAATGAGAGATGAAAGTAGAACAGATATCATGAAAGATCAGACCATCGATACAGTGGGACCCAGTAGATAGGAAGGCTTAGATACCATTTCTGATAACAAACTCAAAGGTCACATAGTCAATCATCACCCAACCCATTTCTATGACATTCACCAAATTAATGTAAACTTACTAATATTTTCACTTTAGCAAAATATCTCTAGAAGTTGAAAAGCTGCTGTAAAAAGGCAAGGGTATTTTTATTTGTCTTGAATGTACTCTGGCTGTAGGCCTGTGCCATTGCAGTAATGATATAACCCTCTGAAAATCCTGTATTCACCACACTGGCTCATGTCCTTTGGGGACAAGGATGTTGGTTGGGAAGATGATGCTGATGCAAGAATACCTGCCTCCTCTAACCTGTACAGTGGGGAAACTAGGAACTAGCACTTCCTACCACTCGCTTTCTACCAGCTAAACCAGTTTCACTCCTGTTGATAAATCATGGCTTTCCCATAGAATGGAGTAACAAAAAAAAGGAGTAGAGGGACAAGTAGGAGGGTAATCTAGGTGTCTGTATATGAAAATTCAGACTGCTCTTCTCAAATATATGGATACACAACCACAACACATGACTGCTGTGAGTCAATGACTTAGTCACAGATCAGATAATAACTAAATATAAAACTTTCATTCTCCTATAAAATCTTAACTGAGGGATCAGAACCATGTCATTTCATGACGTTGGACATGAATAAAGTGTGCGACTAAAAATATTTTGAAAATAGGAAGAAAATACTGAAAGGCAAAAGCGATGAAATTGCCCTCTAGTTCCTCCCCTAGCAGACTCATACTTTAGTTGGTTCCCACCAAGTCATTAAAAACTACTCTTCCTAAAAGACCTTTTAAACTCTTTATAACACCCTGGGAGTACGCATTTTGTTTCAATAACTCATTAGTAAATAACATTAAATTAAACCTGAAAAAATTTATATGTAGAAAAAATATTTTAAAATGGTTGTCCTTAAATGTTTTTAAGGTTGTTGGGAGCCCTTATATATTTTATAAAACGAAAAAGTACAAGGGGCTTGTTTTCAGAACATTTATGCGTTTCATTTCTTTCATTCTATAGTTCAGAATCCTCTATTACTTAATATTCTTTTCTTTAATAGGGCAAATTCTGTCCTTAAAAACTGGTACATAAACACATATAGATGTCAGTACTTGATGATTCACGGGCCATCGCATTATATGTTCATGTCTATCTGATCTGCATTCAGCCATTTGAGAGAATCTAGTGGTTTCATAGGATTAACTGGTCAATTTACAATTTTTAAAAAGAAAAATGTCTTGCCTTTGAATGGTAATCTTGTTCCAGTCTGGGATCTGATCCGGCTACCTGTTTGTATTTGTTAATTTTCATTTGGCGATTTCTCTCCTCTATATCCATAGCACCTATCGAGTAGAAAAAAACCCGTAAAATTAATGTTCAGTTCTTATTTCTAAGCCCTACTTACAGGATGTATAAAAAAAAGAAATTCTCGGATGATATTTACTTTCATCTCAATGTCATAGTATTATTTTAGATTTAAAGTATGCGATTTGGTGAATAAAAACATGATTATTAAATACATAAGTGAATTTTACTCTGGATAAAATGAAAATGAATTTCAACAGAAGACAACAGATCTTCACAAGATGGAAAACACTTTCTGGTACATGTATGTTCAGGAGAATATATTTGAGAGCACAGAATTTTACAATAAAGCTATTCAAAGAGCTTTAGATTTTATTCCATCAGTAATTTACTCATTCATTGGAAAAAATATTACATGCCTATTTGGTTTCAAGAACAATTTTATAAATACATTTAAAACCTGTGATTATGAAATGACCCACCATGCCCTATGGATCCCTGTTATCAAGATCTTTTTGAACTGATTTTCTGGAACAAGGGTTATGAAAGAGAAACTTTGAATAACATTTCTGAGAAAACACAATGCCAATAAAGGCACAAAGAATTACTGAAATCAATTCAGAAAAAAAATGGGACTGTAAGGAGGTGAAACAGTGGAGATGGTAAAGCCAGCCCATACAATGAGGTTGGCACTGTGGGAAGGCACCTAGCACTCAAGTGCCTGCTCCACGGGGGCGGGGGAGGGGGGGATTAATATCACCTTGAAAAAAAACCCCACTGGGTATCAGAGAGTTCTCATTGGCAACAGATTTTAAGTGAAATTTTATTAAGATAAAACAGGAAGGAAGTTTCTAAAAAAGACCCGTCACTGGAGTACCCTGAATTTACATTCTCTGTTTTCGAAGTAGAGTAGCACACTGAAACCAATGTTCAATAAAGTGAGTCCCATTTTTGGTTTGATTGGATTGATTCTGTGTTCTAATGCCCACCAAGGAGTCTAAGAATCATGTTTCTATGAGATGAATAAGGCCTAAGTTCCAGGGAGTGCATTTGCAGGAAAGTCAAAAGCACTCAAGGATATACCTTTCAGTCTGCAGAGTATGACAACAGAGTTGTTCACACAGCAAAAATAATTTCCAGATTAATATGCCTATTTTCTTCTACAAACAAGGGAACCAAAAAGATATTCTGGTACCCCAAAATGATGTGACCTGAGAGAATATTAGCTAAATTGGGTGATTTGGAAGTTTTGTCCAACAGTAGTACATAACATTCTAGATATGAATAGCTCCAACAGACAAGTTTAGACATTTAAAATATACATATATAAAATACATACATACATAAATGGAAAGATATACACACATACATAGAAATGCATTTTAACATTTTATAGGTTAGTTTTTCCACATCAACCTCCTATAGAAACTGGACCAAGTCTTTTTGGCTACCAGGTATTAATGTGACATATTGGCTGGGAGTGGAAAGATTTTTTTTTTTTGGCAAAGAGTCCAATAACCAGTACTATAGGTTTTTCAAACCAGAGAGTCTGCCACTATTCTGAAATCTGACAGAAAAGCAGCTGTGGACAGTGCACACAAGATCAGTCTGACTGGGCTCTCACAAAACCCTCTATAAAATAGGCAGAAGGCAGTTTGGGGTGTGGGCCAGAGTATCCTCCTTTAAAGCATTCTGGTTCAATAATAATTTTTAAAGAATCAATTGAGGTTTTGTCTTTATAATGGTTTAAAAATATTGTAGAATCAGGTAATGGAATACATTTATATTCCATCATGAGGTGGGAGAGTACTAAAGGGTATTATTCTGTATTTTTCTATAAGTAAACAAATGCAAATGGAAAGTCATATCACCATTTAATATGTTGTCAACTAAATTCCAATCTCAATCATTCTGATGCAATCTTCCTTAGATGGAAGAAGTCTTGATTAAGGCCTTAACCAATAAGATCTCAAGGACCATCTTAGTACATATATAAAAAGGTTAATATATATTTAATGTATAATTTTTATATATCAATATTATTTTTATAGCTATTGATTGAAGTATTATAAGTATACTGGTAATGATGGCTTCATGTGTACTTAACTTTAAATTCTCTTAGAAGGTGAATTATTTCAACGGTTATCAGACATTCCTGTCTGCAAAATGCTTGACCTAATTGAAACTACCATCCCTTTCCTGCATATTAATCAGCCTACCTCTCTAAATCTGCCTCTGGACAATAATCTTTTTAGAGATAAAAGTATCCTGTTAATAAAAAGGAAGGCCCTAAGAAAATGAGATTCCACTTAAGTGAGTTGATTTTTCTTTGCTTGCCCTTTGCTTTAAGGAAAATCATCCAGAAACAATATTTTCAGGAATGTTATTTTGATTTTAACCAAACTCAATTTTTTTCTTTTGCCTCAGAATAAAAAACAATTTAGAAGAATCAATGGAAACAGAAGAGCTGCTCCCTTTACTTCAGGAATGGGATCCGTAACTGGTAAACTTTTCTCCAACTCTGATGTACTACATGGTACTTAGAAGGAACATAAGTGCAAGTGTTCTAATGTGTGCAGATGTATGTTCAGTCTCCTTTTTCTCTTTCAGATTTATAACATACATTTGCATAGAAAAGGTCATAAAAATTCTGCCATTTGGGTCACAACTCCTGCCCCTGTCCCTCATGTCTGCAAGTTAACAGTCTCAAAAACATATTTTGAACGATATTGACTGAATAGTTTAGGAAGTAAATTTATCTATCTATCTATCTATCTATCTATCTATCTATCTATCTATCTATCTATCTTAGATCATACTTTCTTACATGACACCATTCTGTAAGACATCATAGTAGTGAAATGTGAGCATACTGAACATTTTGTGTTTAAAATCAAATGAAGTGCCAAGACATGTTCAAATTACAGCAAAACTTAACTATGAGATTAACACAACACTTAGAGACTCATTGGACAAACATATTTACCACAAAAGCTTACACATGTTTGCTTCTATTTATTGAAGTGATCATCTACTCAAAATATTCACTGTCCTCCAATTTTAAGGATAATTAAGAATAATTCTTGTTTAATTAATATCCTATTTCATAAATAACAGCTAATTTATTATTCTGTAGGAAGATGTATAATTCTTGAACAACAGGATCAAAATCTTCCCTCAAGTTATCAGCTTTAGCATTTCTATTTGACAGATGACATTTTTATCAAAACTTCCCAATGACTTTCCCAATACTTCATGTAAATTTTACCAGGCTTTCGTTGCCCTCCCCACCATCCCCAGCCCTTTATAATAAATTTAAGGCAAAGATCAAAAAGGATGTCAAATTATCAAATATAGAATTGCTAAAATTATTGACAGTCACTTGATTTAACTAATTTGATATTTGTTTATTCTCACTTAATGTTTTTTATACTCACCCCACATATTACTTAAGGTATTTTTTTATATAAATCATTTAAGAGGTTTACTTTATCTTAAACCTGCACTAGTTTATGTGGTTATTTTTAACTTTATAAAAACTACTGACTGTATCCTGAAAGTCATTCTATTTGAATGCTGGATTGGCAATCAAGATCTTTAAAAAGTTACGGGCAGGGGCCAGAGCAACCCAGTAAGCATAGGTTTTGCACACATGAGGCCCAGGCTAGATCCTGGGCATGGAAAGGTGGGCACTACCTTTCGATAGAGGTAGAGGCCCCAGAGAACAAAGCCTAGAGTAGCTTCTGCGGACCAACAGGTGTGCTCTAAAAACAAAGTGGGATACTGGGATCTGTGGTGGTGGGAAATGGGCACTGGTGGAGGGGTGGGTATTTGATCATTGTATAATTGAAATCCAAGCACAAAAATTTGTAAGCAAGCACAACTGTACCTCATGATGTCTCACTAATTAAAAAAAAATAAAAACAAAGTGTGGTGGGAATTTGCATTCAAAAATAAGGTTGAAAACGCACAGGGAAATCAGCAGCAAGCTCATCCCCTATGCCAAAGCACAGGCTTCAGTATTTACCTGTGCTCTGACAAAGATCACGCTGCATTCACTGCATTCGTGGTTGAGGAGTGCTTCAGTTATTTCTCCTTTGCTTCTCTCCAGACCCACCCCTCCCACCCCACAATCTTCATCTTAGTCCTGACAGATCTCAAAGAGGGACATAGGCAGTGATGCAATTCAACCCTGGGTTGAACAAGCGACCAGAAGACGCAGAATTGCCATTAAGCAGTTTTGGTGACTCCAGCTTGTGATCAGAAGCAAAATGCACTGGTTTTGAAGAGCTGGAAAAACCTTAAGCTTGAGATCAAAGCTCAGAGAACCCCCAAATTCAGAAGAAAAAAACAGTAACAGCAAACCGATTAATTATAGACATCATGGAAGACTAAGATTATTAATCTTATTTAAATCCAGAAACTGCTAGTGAACATCCCAAATCATCCCTTTCTAAACTGCTATATATAAAAATATCTGACTTTGAGTAGAACATAAAGTGCTCCTTTGCAATGAAAAAAAAATTGGCTAAGTGGCTATGGCTCCCTGTTCATGAGAATTTCTGATAAAAATCATCACCTCACTTCAGTAATTCTTCCTTTGACTACTGGATGCTTCCCAAAACTAAGTCTCCCTTTTAATAATTCAAGGCTAGGAACAAATTAATATATTATATTGTTTTTATACTACTCAACAAAATACATCAAAACATTTGGTTTCATAATATACATCATTAATTGGTTTTCTAATTAAATTTAAGAACTAGAGATATTTGGGTAATATCAAGTTTTAGTTAATATTAAAGTATTTCCAACACAAACTTTTTTTTTTCTGCCGGAACCATTCAAATAATTGATGGCAATGCACATTAAGTTTTGCCATAAAAATAAAATTGATTCTTATAAAACACATATAATGCAAACTTTTCTGAGGTACTTCTGTGAATGAAGCTCAAGAAGTATTTTACATATAAAACAATCATTTTTAATTTAACTATATAAGGCTATTGAGGAAAGGAAATAAATTACTTTTGATAATTAGTCTATCAAATACCAGCTAACAGTTTTTTTCTAAGAAAATACACACACTATGAAAGAGGCACAAAACGAGAAACACAAAGAAAATTGAAGAGAGTGACAGAAATCCTGTAAGCTAAATGAATAAAGCTGCACCAGGGTGAGGCAGAGCCTGGGAAACAGAAAAACACAGAATGCATTGAAAAGTTCATTAAACCAGGCAATGTTCCCAACAGGAAGAATTACAAGGGTGATCTAATCTAGAAAAATCTTTTAAATTAGCTAAAGTATAATTGTTTTACTTTGGATATTTGCCCCCTCCACCCTCCTGTGTACAATGACGTGTTTAGGAGAAAAATGAGTAACTTTTTAATCAATTAGTTATTTTTGATTTGTTAGTCACGATTTTTGTATTGCTGAAAAAACAAGATGCATTTTAGAGGGTAAGCTAAATTTTAAGATGATGCAATTCTCCAAGAGAATCAATATAATGGTTATCATGAAAATTTCTTATAAGAAAAAAATGCAGTAACTACTGTCAAAGATGCAAACACAAATTTGATTCATGATTAATAAACTATTCTCCATATATTTTAAGCACTTTGGTGGCTAACAGTTACAGGAAGGGAGAAAGAGCATTTTATTGCCCTATGTGTGAAAACCTGTCCCTGAGTAATTATGTTTTGATATGACAGTTATCCCAGATCACTGTGTCCCACATCTGGGGACTATTTAATGTAGCCAAGAAGATAAACTTCAACTACGACACATTAAACACATCACAAGATTGTGTGGAAATTTGAAAGAAACAGAATAAAGAATTTTAAACATATTCTTACATTTACATTTAGAAATTGAAATGTAAATATACTTAAAAATGTTGATAGTACTAATTAAAAATCATAGAGAATGAAAGTATTCATCATATGAAAAGGAGATAGGGCAGTACTGGAAATAAACCCATATACTTTTCCTTATGTATATTAGAAAGTCATACATTAAACTTCTGTGCTATAACTCAAATATTATTTAAGCTTGCCAGTTAGAACTAAAATTGAGATCTAATTTATAATGTGTACATTATTGCCTTATAAAACTGCAAAATGCTGCCTTATGAAAATGTGAAACATATAAAACTATGTTTAGAGTTTATATTATTTCATATATGAGGAATTCTAACCACTTTCTTGTATAGAAAATTAATAGCTGAAAATTATAGACCTAACATATATAAATAAGATGAAAACACAACATAAGTAGTTCTATACTCAATTTTTGTAATTTTTGCTATTGTTCATGCATGCTATTGTTCATGCATTTTCATATCAGCATTTCTAAGACTCCTAGAGTACCTTAGTTCAAAATAAATGCAGAGAAAGAGAAAAACAAACTGCATTAAAAAGTTCATTAAACCAGGAAGTTTCCCTAGAAATTTTATTAGCTATGATATTAAAATGATAGTATATTCTTGAAAGTAGGAAAGATATTTTTACCTTCTAAGTCAAGCAAAGAGGCAGAGAAGTAGAAATCATTCACAGTAAGAGCTGTTAGGATGGATAGACTATTAAAAAAGGATTCAAACACATATGATCACGTCCCCCAAATAATAATGAAAATGAGAAACAATAATTATAGCTTTGGTTCTTCTCTAAAACATAGCAGAATCACAAGGGAAGTACTAAGGACAGGGAATTAAACAAAAGGGTAATCACGAGTTAAATTAAAAAGTCAGTCTTTAGATATGTATTTTACTTTCTATTTTCAACATTAGTATTCATATAAGATATAAAATCTCTAAATTTCCCTTGAGTTAATATCTTGTTTTTAAAAAGCAGGTTAAAGAACAATCAACTTTACTTTAAAAATTAAAATTTAAGAGCCTATGAAGAAAAAAATATTTTTACTACTGAAATGAAGGAAACATTACTAAATCAGATTATGATTATAAATTGCAAATGTGATGTAAGCTTTCAATGCAAGAACAAACAGAAAAGATTTATAAAAGACCTCCATATGTCCACGGCCATCATCCTAAGAAATGAGTTAAAATATAAAGATGAATAAAATGAACTTACATTACAATAGCATGACTAAAAGAAAATCAACATATTTAAAATTTCATTGCATAATTTATCCACATAGGCTAACAAAAATATTTTACTGAGATATTACAATATTTTAATAGAGGATCACTATTAAGTCATTAAGTTTGGTTACTGTTACAGTGAAAATGGAAATGTTTAGTCATATGTATTTGAAATAGTGCTCATTCTTATATATCTAGTATTTCTCCAAAGAAGCTACTGATAGTTATTATTGGTCAAAGATTTGAGAATGCAGATATAGAGTAACCAATAACAAAGAGTCTAAAATTTCTTCCAATTTCCAAGGAATGCATATTGAATGTTTCACCAACAGAACACATCATGAAATGCTTCAGTATAACACTGAGTGAAGGAGTAAATGTTAGATGGGATCACTGTTAGAAAAAGAAAGAAAAAGATTAGATTAAGAAATATTATGGACAGATTAAACTCAAGACTGGTCTGAATTTCATTCAACCTTTCAAATGAAAGGTTTTCAACCTTTCAACCCACATGAAAGTACCGGTGACAATGAAGATCCCAGTAAAACTGTAATGTAAACTGAATTTAGTCACCATTGACATTAAGTCCATTTTGTGGAAGTGGCTGGAGTGGTTGGAATCATATCCCTAGGGGGTAGAGCCTGCAATGCCGACAAAGAAACAACTAGATCACATCCAGGGGTCCCGAATCCCTGGATTTCTCTGTCCTTGTTCTCTACGAACGGCTCTTGTGTGGGTCTCAATGTATCCTGCACCAATAACCCCCTTTCACTCCAACTTAACTTTAACATTTCTATATTCTCCAACTTCTTTCAGGTCAAGTCTCCATGCTCTGAAGTTAAGGAATTGGGCGTAGTACAAAGGCTAATTCCAGTTTCAAACAGCTCTAGTAAGTTATTGAGCTGATCTGTACCTCAACTTTTGAATCTATAAGGTATAAACAGAAACAGTGTCTGCACAGTGAGCTTACAGAACTTGTAATGGTGAATAATTGATGACTAGAATGTTAATTTCAAACAATTCAGAGGAGTTTAGACTAGGGGACTGAGAAGGTTTTAGTTGGGAATGTTTAAGTCATCACCAGTTTGGGTAACACTGGGCTAAGTGCACAGAGGATCTTCCTGCATCCTGTATAGCTGACCTATTTATATATCTTGTATCTTCTCCAGCTCTCAGTTCAAGGCAACATGTTATATTGCTAAGGCACTTAAGACATAATATCCTCTCTTAGCTTCCTATCCATTTTAAAAGAAAAAAAATCAGCACTATGTACTGTAGTTTAATGCAGGTCTGATATGGGGAAACCTGAGTCTCAAAATTACCAGAAATGTTCTATTTGTTAAATTCACGACTATTCCTCAGCATATCTACGTGGCCTCACTTCAGCATTTCATAGAATTATGATGTTGTCTTTGGCATTTGCCCTTTGACTGTCTGTATTGGCACTTTAATTCAACCATCAGTTCTTTTTTTAACCAGATTATCTTGCCAACTGATCTTGCTTAGGCCATTTTCCAAATATATACAAATACTTCCAAAATGCTAATAATGTTCCCCTTTTCTGTTCCTCAGTGTTCCTCAGTTCCTCAGTTCCTAAGTCCTTAACTTTACTTTCCATTTCAATGTCGAATGCTCCTAACCTTAGTTTCTTGTAAGCTTATGACTTCATTTCTAGTTGTTTCATATCACCCCCAAATGAACATTCCAACAGAACATAAAACTCAGCTTGTCCAAATCAAGTTAAAATGACTTCATTCTGTTCTCCTTCCTTTGTTGGTATCAATGAACATGCACAATCTATTGCTTTGTTCACTGCATTCCCTGTATTTGGAGTAACTATCAATCCTTATTATATTTTCAATCGTTTAGTCATATTTAAGGTAAAACTTACATGTGTTAAAATTTAACTATTTAGATGTAAATTCTATGATATTTGGAAAATGTATATAGGCATGCAATCTCACACAATGAAGATACAGAGAACTCCTATCACCTATAAAGACCACCAAGGTGACCTTGTGATAACTACCCTGCTTGGCAGTCAAGGTAATACTGATCAGGTTTCTATCTGGCTTTCACTTTTTTCCAGTAATGCTTTTAGTTTTTATTTTTGGGGCTTGGGGGGCCACAGTGGTACTCAAAGTCTTACTGCTGTCTCTGTGCTCAGGGATCACTCCTGGTAGTAGTCAGTGACCCACATGTGGCACCAAGAATAGAACCAGAGTCAGTCATGTGTAAAGTAAACAAGACCCTTACCTCCTGTACTGCCCACTGCCCAGATTTTACCCAAATTAGGCATAGGAAATATATACTAACTCATCTTTAAAAAGTAGGTAGAATCTGGAACTCTGGAACTGAATGCTTAGGTTCCTGCAAAATTAGTTCTTAATACTGGGAGTTATGCTAAGAACTGCATGTAAAAAGGTTGTGTCAATGAACCCAAGTGCAAGCTATGGGCTTTACTGTTTTCTCCATTGCATTTATTAGAAAATTCGTACAAGATTATCACCACACGTGTAAGTGACCAAGGCTGCTCTATTCTTCTCCCCGCTTCTCTCTCTTCCTCTTTCAATTACATTATAACCGAATATAAATTCCATTAGAAATTTACTTTTATTAGAGCAATATATACACAAACTCATCCTCACAACTACAACCCAGATCTAAACTTTATTTATTCAAGTCTGTATATATTAAATAATAAATGTTTAGTTTCTTCAAAGAAATGAGTTTTAGAATGTAAAAAACCTTTTAATTATCAGTAAGAATTTAACAGATGACCTTTCTTTCATATAAATTATTCATGATATGATAGTTTAATATACCATTATATTACGTAGAGAATGATTTTACTCTAGCACAGTGAAATTCATAGATTATTTGGCTTTTTAACTTTATTCCAGTATAAATGCTTTGAATTTATATTTCTTAATAAGCAATATTATTGCCAACATATTTAATCTAGAATTGCTTATGATTCTGGATACAAAAATGTTCGGCATTAAAATATCTTTAAAAGGAATTTGAGTAACTTATAATCTGTATAAAAATATCCTTTGGCCACCTGTCAGAGATTTTATTAAGGATTTCTCTAACATAAAGCAACCCTTCCATCTTACAGAAGTTATAGCTCACAGCCTTGGGGTTTTCCCTCATTTTTGATATTTATTTGTTTGCTCTTAAAATGGAGATCCTTTCTTATTTTAACTGGCCATTTGTTTTTATTCTTTGGTTGACTGAAAGCATATGTACAGAAACATAAATGATCAACCTCTGATCTTTCGTCCACTTTTCTTCTAGAGCTTTGCAGGCTAGGATGATTTATTTGACAAGGTGATTCAGATGTTAAGCTCTTAATAATATGAGTTTCTGAGTGCAAACATGTTTCTGAAAGCACTGTTTGCAATTTGTGCTGATTCTGATGTTCTGAAGTTCCTATTTGCCATGTGGACATTGTCTTTTTAGATTTCTTTCTCTTCGTACAAAATTTTTCTTGTTTCAGAGAAAAAGCTATTTATATTTAATTAGAAGATGATTAATTCCCAAAGTAATTTAACTAGAGTTCATTCTGTTGATAGGAAGTATCAGTTAAGGAGCCAAAGTCACATCCCTAATGGGTAGAAGAACCAATATTAGAATTTTGGCCGAGAATTAGGTCTAGGGTTTAGGATTCTCTTCTTGCTGCTGATTCCACTCACCTCTGTTTCATTAGGAAGGAGAGTGTTCAAGCACAGATACAGCAGTGATGCTGTCAGTCTGGGCCTATGTAACAACTATTTCCTGAACAAGCACATGGTGCCTGTAATGCAAATAAAAGGAATTCTATGTGGGTCACTGAAAGCACGCCTACTTATCCCAATGCCAACGCTTTAATAATATCTGGGACCCGGGCTTCAATTCTCCTTCTCAGATTAACCTGTCTACAGGAATAAGTATTTTTTCCACAGCTGGTTTGAAATTCTGGTTTCTAATGACTCTTGTAAAATTATAAAAGAGTCTCACTTAAATAGGTTACTAAATGACTTCCGGGTGTTCTAAAAACTTAAATTAACTTCAAAACCCTCTAAAAATACTAGTATCTCTATTCTACAGAAGAAATTTGTTGTTGCTCTTCTTTTGGAGTCACTCCCAGCTGTGCTTAGGAATCACTCCTGGCAATGCTAGGGAACCTTATGCAGTGCTGGGGATCAAATGGAGTTGGCTGCGTGCAAGGCAAGTGCATTACCCCTCTACTATGTCTCCAGATCTATATAGAAAAAAATTGTGGTGGGTGGGGAGGGGAAGCCACACCCAGCAGTGCTCAGGGAACAATCCTGGCGGGGCTTAGGGGACCATATCTGGTGTCAGGGATTGAACTGGGGGCCATGTCATCCAACACAAGTGCCTAACATCTTGTATGACCTTTCTTGTCCCTTATGTGAGAAATCTTGAGTCAAAGAGAGTGATGCTCAAGAGCAC